GCATATATTACACATTTAATTCTCGTGATTCTCCTGCATGGGAATTAATGATTTTCTCATTTTACGAAGAGGGAAATCGAGGCATGTAGAAGTTTTACTTAAACTATTTTCCCAAGGTCATCCAATTAATTAGGTGTTGACAAAGCAGGGCTTTGAACCCAGGTCTAACCAACTCAAAAACCAGAGTGTTTTCCAAGATATGTCGCAGCTTCCACATAATGTAACACACAGTTTCACCCTCCCCCTCTCCTGCAGGCTTCTGTGTTCTTCCTGGATAAAAATCTCTTTAGAGTGGCCTGCCTTACTGCCTCCCTCGTGGGGTATGGGAAATGGAACAGGATCAATCATGGGGGTAGCAAACTATGGGTGTTTTTTCGGTATCTCCTCAACTGCTTTTTTTTTCCTTTTTTTTTTAAAGTTGGATTTTTTTACAGTTCTGTTTCACTCTGATCCTTTTATAGCCCGTCCGCCTTCCTTCATACCCCTGAAGTAAGGTACATATACTTGGCTCATTTATTTCTGCCCATATTCTTTCACTTTTTAATTCTTTTTACCAATGAACCTATTCCTCAATTCCTAGAAGAAGAAAATAAAAGGCTTTTATTCAACACAAGGTTTGTGCATCAAGAAATTTCACAACTTGGAGTACACCCTAATGGAATAGGGTGTAGGGAGTAATGCCAATAGCCATGATCCCTTTGAAGATTTCCAGAATCATCCCAAAGTTTTGTGATGTATCTCGAATTCCAAACCTGAAAGGAAAACACGATGGTTTATTAGACTCCAATCTAGACCAGAGACAGACTCACTGTTCCAGAAGCAAAGGCACGTATAGAGGGCATCAAGGGGAAAGACAAGAGAATGAAAGGAAACGGGGTGGGAGGGTGGCAGGGGAAAGAAGCACACACGGTATACCTTGATGATAGGTAAGCATGACAATCAAAAGCCCTTATGTAATGAGATTAGAACATCACCATGTACCTGGAGGAACTAGACCCAATCCAAGATTCATTCATTCATTAAAACAAGCTGTGTGTGTGTGTGTGTGTGTGTGTGTGTGTGATGTGTGTACTTTCTGTGTGCTGGCACTGTTTTGGGGACATAATATATTGAATGTAACATCAGGAGGGTAAGCACATTTAACAAGAATATAAGGTGAGAACATCGTGGTGGCCAGGGCCAAATCGGGTAGGATCTTGTGAGCCATTGTAAGGATTTTGAATTTTATACAAAGAGAGATAGGAAATAATATAATGTCTGAGAGTGAGCGATTATAAATGAAACAAGACTAGCCACACATGAGTTGATAACTATTGGAGCAAGTGGTGGACTCATAGGGAAGGGCTCATTATAAAAATCTCTACTTTTATATATCTTTACAGTTTTCTGCAAAATAAAGTTTGATAGAATGAGAGACATGAGAAGGTTCTAAGCAATCAAATGATATATTCTGACTGACATTTTTTGAAAAAACACTGACCGCTGCACGGAGAGAGGGACTGGACATGGTGTCCCCCGGTGTATCCATCAGAGTTAGCAGACGCAGTGGAGCAGGATCATTCATGGGGGCAGCAAACCATGTATTTTTTTTTAATGTCTTAACTGCTTTTTTTTAGTTAGATTTTATTTTGTTTCAATTACAGTTGAAATCAATATTATTTTATATTAGTTTTAGGTGTTATAGCATAGTGGTTAGACATTTATATAATTTACGAAATGATCCTTCCCCCAATAAGTCTAGTACCTACCTGGCAACATACATGGTTATTATAATATTATTGATTATATTCCCTATGCTGCACTTTACAGCCCCATGGCAAACCATGGTTCTTTAAAAAAAAAAAAAGTTACCTGTAACTTAAAAGGGTGAAGTGAATGTGATATGGTGGGGAAAACACTGGGCTGGCAATCAGGAGAATTAGATCTGGACAGCTTACTCCATCTCTTTGAACCTCTGTTTCCTTATTTGTTCAGTGTAGCACTAGTGCAACCTGTCCTCACAGTGGGGTTGTAAGAATTAAAATAGGTAGCAGGAGAAAGGATTGTACAAAACCATGGAGGGTTGCACTAACATAACGGGTTGTTATTATCTTGGATGCCTTCTTATTGTAATTATCACTAGTACTGCAGATAGTCGTATTGCTAATAATATATTTTTAGGTTTCCAAAGGATTTCTTAGAGTTCGATTGCTGGACTGAGAACAGAGGTTATAAATTTGGCAGAGCAGCAGTTAAGAAGATTGCTCTCCTGCAGACTTAGAAGAGCACCTAAGCACGGTCAAGGGCTCCAGTTGAATTGATGAAACTCCGGAAGTCCAAGAATGCCACCTGCGTGCGCACACACACACACACACACCCACGCACTTACACACACACTTTGATTTTTAGCAGCAGAGGTGGGGGTTGATTTATTAAGTGTTTCTGTAGGACACTCATTTTAAAGAGTTTGCAGCATGTTTAAGCCACTACCTCAGAAACCCTTCAAACCTACTGCACTATAGGGAAATACAATTATTTCTGACCTGTAAGAACAGAATAAGAAAGCTTGCCCACGTCTCATGATTATGTTCCAGTGCTCTGCTCTTTAAAACACACTTCTCTAGGGGGATCACACTTGTTTTTTCTCCACAGGCCATACTGTCATTTAGTTGCACAATCTCAGTTATATTTTTTAAATAATGTTCGGGATTGTTTCTTACAACAAGGTTTTGGTTTCTTCTGATGCAACACCCTTCCTTACACACACACATAGCTTCCAATTTTAAAGGAAAAGAGTAAAGTTTATAAAGAAGCCCCAGATTTCAGATTGTGCACATTTATCTACCTGATGGGACGCTGAGGGGTGTGTTTGACCATAGAGAAATGAGCCCGTTATATGAGGTTAAGATTGCTGGCATTGGAGACTCACACACAGCCTGTGTTAGGGTCTCTGCTCTGGCACTTAACATGTTGTGTGACCTTAGGCAGGTTGCTTAACTAATAGTTCCCTTGTTTGTAAGATGAAGATAATAACTGCTTTGTAGAATTGATGAGAGGGTTAAATGCATAAGGAGCACTTAGCACGGTTTCTAGGACAAAGCAAGAGTTCAAAAAATGCTGAGGAATTATTGTTGTGTTTATAGGCTGGAGGAAGCATTGTAAATTATTTCACTCTAGTCAGTGTCTCTCATCTGACTTCTCTTTGACTAACTCAGTGGCTCCCAACTGTGAGTGATTTTGTCCCCAGGGGACATTTAGCAATGTCTGGAGACCTTTTTGGTTGTCACAATTGGGAAATGCTACTGGCATCTTGTGGGAAAAAGCCAGGGATCCTACAATGCACAGAACAGCCCCTCAAAAAGAATTATCCAACCCAAATGTCAACTACGTACCAAGGTTGAGAAACCCTGGAAACTAAATAACATGGGGTTGATAATCTACTGAAACTATGTGACATCTTTACTCAGATCTGGGAAAGTATTTTGCACACACTATTTGGAATCTAAAAGCCTGTGTTTCAATTGTGGAAAGAGAAGCGCTAATGGTTAACCTTGATAATCTCTGGTCATGACCAAGGCACCCCTAGTGACTAGGTGCTCATCAGAGAATATGCAGCCTTTCTTCCTGCCATGAGTGGAACATTCATGACAGTAATTCCTTATTTGACCAAAAGATCCACTCCACCATTAGCCCTCTGTTTGCTGTAGCCTGTTCTACTGAGATTTTAGTTTCTCACCAGTTTAGGGGGCCAAAGATCAATTTTCTTCAGACACCAGAGACACAACCCTGGTCTTGGAAGCCTCCCTCACTGTCCTGGAATTCTATCTCAAAGATGACTAAAGTTTGAGACTGCTCCTTAATCTGTGTATACTGAACTGTTTTACAGAATTTCAAAGGAGCAGCCTTCTGGTAGTATATCTGGTAGCAGAATTTCAATGGAGCATCTTGGCTGGTTGTATAAGTGGAAAATGCAGGAAATCTCAGATAATGCAATTAAATCTGTTTGATGACATCAGTTTAGATTTCATTTT